TAGGTGTAAGTAATAACTTCACTAAGAAAACAGTCAATGACTGATTAATCACAACATGCTACACTTCCACCCTACAAACTAATTCTTGACTCATGTGGATGGGTGAACATGAGGAAGTCTCTTGAGTTACTCGTGAGCAACCATCCGATCATCAAAAGACACAAGTTGTTGTAAACAGTGGCTGTTTGACGTGACCCAGGCAAGTGTCAGATAAACCAGTGCATGAGAAAAACAAAGGTTTTTAATTTAAAATGAAGACTGAGACCAACATCACCATCTATAATCTTGACTAATGCTTTCATCTGAAGGGACGCTGACACATTAGATACCATTTACTCACCCTTGCGCTATTTCAGACCCACCCATATGAGTTGATTTGTTCCAAGAAACACAAGTGGAGACATTTTCAAAAGTGTTACAGTGGCCAGAACCTGTCCAGCTACAAAGTTGACAAAAAGGCATCATTAAAAAGTCCATATGACTCACAAACTATTCCAAGGCTTTTTGATAGTCATATGATAGGTTAGTGTGAGAAAAAACCCATGGATTCAATGCCACTTTGGCACTACTGATGTTAAACCTGGTGCAAACACATGAAAACTAGAAACGTTGTCTTGCAATTAATATAAAATATGCTTAAGTGGAAGAACTAAAAAAATAAAAAATTTAACATAATAAAAGATATTTAAAAAACTAAAACTAACAAAACATAAGTCATAACAAAATTACTAAAATGTTAACTAAAATTAAAAATAAAAAAAAAATATACAAATAAAAGCTAATTATTCAATAGTATATTTAGAAACGATACTAAAATAACACTGCACAGGAGAACGTCCTAAGTTTGGGAACGCAAGAGTGTGAGTTAACAATGACAACACTTTCATCTTTGAATTAATTTTATCCTGCGCAGAAACAGAACAGCGGGAAAACACAACATAAATCATATTTGTTTGTACTTCAGGAATTCCGTGTATTGAGCAGAAATCTAAAAGCATTGTTCACATTCAAAACTAGATCAACCAACAATCTGAATACTCAGGAAAGGGCTGAGACCTTCATCTCGGCAATGTCTTGAACAAAACAAACAAAAAAAAAAGGTTAATTGGATATGAATTGTAAACACTTCCATATTTTAGACCAGTAGGTCCCAACCCTGGTCCTGGAGGCACCCCAACACTGCACATTTTGCATGTCTCCTTTCTCTGACACACCAATTTCATGTCTTGGAGTCTCTACTAATGAGCTGATGATCTGAATCAGGTGTGTTTGATTAAGGAGACATGCAAAACATGCAGTGTTGGGGTGCCTCAAGGACCAGGGTTGGGAACCACTGTTTTAGACCACGATGGTTTTGTGACTCCTTTCCTAAAGTCCTGAGCCAGTTGGTCCAGCAAAACCCATGGAGGCCATGTCCAACCATATGTTTACTCAAGCATGTGATAAAGACACGCTCTATGAATTTTCCTTTTTGTTTTGACATTTCAACTTCCTTTGCAGGGTAATGTCACTAAACATTCACGCCAGGAACATTTAACCACTCACACACTGAACTGAAATCAAATACAGAAACAACTGCAGCATCATTTCAGTTCATGTTTTCTTTATGCTAACAGTTCCAGAGTCGTTGAGGCCACTTATTCAAAGGCTCTACAATAGCTTTGTGAAAAGAATAAAACACAAAGGTGCAGCCTGTACACTGTAAACGCCTGCGATTCATTAAAAGATTCAAGCACACAAACACAAGAGCTGATGTGTCCATTCTGTCAGCCAGAGCCTTTCCTCATAAAATCCCACAGGCGGCTTTGGAAAGCAGCTTACACATTTTCAAAAGAATTAGGAACATACTCAATTCTTATTTTAATAAAAACCAATGATCTTACTTGTAATTCTTACAATGAGTCTTGATGAAAATCATCCTGTCTGGACACAACTAAGTAAAAATAAATAAACAAAATGCCAACTGTCCTATAAAATAGCCATAAAATAAAATTCTATATTATATTAGGCCTATTGGTATAAATACATTGAAATGTAAATATTATATCTTTATTTTTAGGGGACTACAGTAATGAAAATGTGCTTAATAATACCACAAGGAACCTTTTTTTATGTAAAAAAATATAATAATTAAAAAAACATTTTTTTTTTTACCCATTTTTGTTTTGTCAATTTCGACAGAACCGATTGTGGTTACCATTTACTCCCTACTACTATGCCATGGTCAGCATATACTGACGTGTCTTTGAGATAAACTGTAAAGATAATTTTGACTAACGTTAGCAGAAAGTCGTTTTTGCATGAAACTGACATAGAAGTTAAAAAATAATGCAAGAACTTTCTTTAAAAAAAGACAAGGAAGTACTATGCAACACATAGGCTACAGAATAGTTCAGAGAAGGAGAAGCTGTTCAGGCACAAACAAAATAATGCCGAAGAGAAACTAAATCAAACTCATAACGTTACCTCACTTTCAGATTTGAACAGCTTTAAAGTGTGTAACCGCGCTACATGTCCTATGGTGGGAGAGTTTCTCGCTTTTTCAAGAAGCAGCGGTAAAGTTTCTTTCTCTTACTCCGCCATGTTTTCTCAAGACACTTTCCTTCTCTAAGATTTTTTTTTCTCGGAAAAAGGAAAACGTCTTTCACTTTGGCACGCCACTCATTACACAGGAGATTTTGTAAAACGCCACGCCTCGCCATTATAATGCTTCAGTGCTGAAGTAATGCTCGCGAACGAATCGTTTTTTTTAAACCGACTCTTTTGAATGATTCAGTCGAACCGATTCGCAAAGTGATTCACATATCGCTGTAAAAAGATGAAGGGGGAGCAATATTGTAGAATTATTACTAATACTTAACATTGTTAATATTAACAAACTAATGCTGAGACGATTTTTGTTTTGGTCGCACCAATTCATAACATTTCTATTTGTAAATTTCCTGACACTATGTGACTTTGTTTTAAACTAAAACATTAGGAATGGCGGTAGGAATATTGTTAAAATTGTTAAAGCACACGTGGGCAGGCGATAAACTAATCCAAAAGACATTTTAACAATAAAAAATAGAGCGGAAAACATTAAGTGATGACTCGCGGTGAATCGATTCATTGAACGGATAATCTGAAAGAATCAATTCTCTAAAATGAATTGGACGCCCAAGTGCTGCTAGATCCAAATTACTTGGCAAAATGTATTGCATTTTGTGGCAGATTAGATGAAAATGCTTGTGAAAACATTCAAAAATAAATAAATAAATAAATAAACGAAGGAGGACCATTTTTGTCTGCACCTCAATTTGGTTCTAATTGTTAGCAAAAATGAATATAGAACAAAACAGCACTTTCAAATCTCATTAAAATAATTATGGTAAGTAGTGTGATGTATTGACCAGCAGGGGTCAGTGTTTATTACTGACAGACAAATCTAGCAGAAAGACATTTTATGTATACATTTTTCCTGTTTTTTAAAAAAGTAATCATATTGTACACATTAAAGCAGAAAAATCAAGACACGTATACATTGGGCCAGCTTGCTTACGCACATACACAAACATAATAACAAGCACATGAGTGACGGCATCAGCTTAATTGCATAATTAAAGCTAAAAAATGCATAAAATCCATTACACAGATGGGAGCCTACAATTGGATAATATGTCCATCTCTGTAATGCACTCTGATTTGATGCATTAATATACTTAAAGCCACTCAAAGAGCATTTGAAAACAAATAAATAATGTAGGCTATTACAGCTAGAAAATATACTGTAGGCTAAAATACAATATATTAAAAGTTTACAATGATTTTACTAGCTGTTTGTAGCCAATAGAGTATAAATGCACATTTGGTGAGAATTATAAGAGAAGGCTACATATAAAACAACACAACAGCAGTCTTTGGACACATGAAAACATTCCACTGTTAATTAAACACATTTGGCATTTCAATCTCTGCTCTATTTCGAAACGCGAAAGTAAGCTATTTTCTTTGAATGTACGAGACTTCCGTTCAGGTAAATAATTAAAAGTATAACAAACAAACAGTAAATGGTACACTCTAAGAAATGCTGGGTTAAATACAACCCAGTGCTGGGTAAAATAGGGACAAACCCAGCAATTGGGTTGTTTTGACCCAGCGGTTGGGTTACTACCCAGAAGGTTGGGTTAAACATTTAACCCCACCGCTGGGTCAAAACAACCCAATTGCAGGGTTTGTCCCTATTTTACCCAGCACTGGGCTGTATTTAACCCAGCATTTTTTCAGAGTGTAAGACTATTTGTTCGACAAACCAGTGTGTTTATGGTTATGATAATGAACTAAAATAATATAATGACAAATACCACACTCTAAAAAATGCTGGGTTGTTTCAACCCAATGTTGGGTCAAATATGGACTAACCCAACTGTTGGGTTAAAAAGCTCATTTAAAAATGTAACCAAAATTTAACCCAACAGTTGGGTTAGTCCATATTTGTCATAGTCCAACCCAGCATTTTTTAGAGTGCAGTTTGCAGCATAACCGAATGTTTTAGTAGAGCTAAATTAACTGAAAGCTAATGGCACCGGAAGCCTCGCACATCAAGTTAACAAATGGATGCGCAAATTAATGTGGATAGCTGCAACATTTCAATACTTAAGTCATTTTTAAGTTGTAAAAAGAAAAGAATCAACCAGCAGAAAGGAGAAACCGGGGCTAGTTGTTACACTTTTAGCTCAAAATAATAATTTTGAGAGTGGGTTTAGTTTAAAAGTCAATGTCTTTACAAACACATACACTCTAAGAAATGCTTGGTTAAATATAACCCAGCGCTGGGTTAAAAAGGGACAAACCCAGCTATTGGGTTGTTTTGACCCAGCTATTGGATTGTTTTGACCCAGCAGTTGGGTTGTTTTGAACCCAACCACTGGGTCAAAACAACCCAATAGCTGGGTTTGTCCCTTTTTTTACACAGTGCTGGGTTATATTTAACCCAGCATTTTTTTTACAGTGTACCTTACAGTCTTTGCTACAAAGATGCTTTTGAACATTTATATGGCAGGGGGGAAAAAGATACATATGATGTATCAGGAACATATGATGAGCAAATTGCAGGACGTGTTGTCACTCTATGGGAACTTGACATTAAACAGCCTATTACAGGCATTTCAGCTAAATATAAATACAGTTATAAACACAAAACAACTTTTGAAATGATAAGGAAATATCAAACCACTGTTTTTGCCAATAGAAATTGTAGTTGAACAAATTCTACAGAATTACAACATATAAAACATAACAACTTGGCTGGTTACCCGTAGGCCTATCTCGCGCAGAAATCCATGAATTTACCAATTAATCTTTATATTTCTCTTTACAAATGTTAATACTGTAAACATGTACATACATACATACATACAGATAAATATGTACACATTCAAAACCACCATACTGCCTTTTATTGTGTACAATTTTAGAGTTTAACATTTCCCCCAAAGTAATAGATATTATAATATCTGAATTTGAAGGGCAACAGAAGTATATTTTTATAGGCTTTTATATGTACATACTTTGATTAAACCCACCCAGAATCCCCCAAAAGCAGCAGTTTTGCTATGATGAATTCCAGTATTCACATTTTTTTAAATACATTTTTTTTTACCATGCTCTCTAATGAGCTAATGTGTTTAATTCACAGATATACTGCAGCCTAAATACTGTATATTCTGGCTATTTAAGCCATTTGTTGTCATATCAACTGAGCAATACAATCTGCATTTAATAAAACTGTTGTATTCAGATGTTCATGTTTTCTGGAGGTGTCGAGGTCTGTATATTAGAGGCACCGGTGAGTTTTAATGACTCTAGAATGGAGTGTCCATCTGACTTCCTTTGGCTCCAACAGGGACGACAACGTAACTCCCCTCTTGATATCGCATCCAACGTAAGTGTATTTCTTTCTGAACCTAACAGACAAACACATGTACTGCATAATATATAAACACAAAATCTCAGGAGAGACTTTGATCAAAACAAAACCGAAATCTAACATGTTATAAATGTGTGTATATATTTTATTATTTCATATTATTCTGATGGTTTAATCAGCTGTTTGGACTCTCATTCTGACGGCACCCATTCAATGCAGAGGATCCATTGGTGAGCAAGCGATGTAATGCTAAATTTCTCTAAATCTGTTCCGATGAAGGAACAAACTCATCTACATCTTGGATGGCCTGAGGGAGTACATTTTCAGTAAATTTTCATTTTTGAGTGAACTGTTCCTTTAATGTGATAGCAATTCATCTAATTTCTGATTTCTGTTGCTTCTTCTTCTTGTGGGAGCGTGTATTGAACTCGAATAACATCCAAAAGCCCAGTCATTTCCTTTTAAGAAAGTTTAATAACAAAAAATAACTGGAAATGTCAAAAAAAAAACTGTAGTGCTCCAATCTGGCAGGAAACAAATTCTAACGGTTCTTGCCGGAAATGACATCAGCATAATTTTCAATATTTATATGAAACATATTAAATTAAGTACAATTATTTAATTTCTTAATCCAAACAATAACTTATTTCACATCTATATAAATAAACAAATAACACTTGAATGGCTCTTACACATCCGGCCCCTAATTGGTTGGGCAGATGACAAACCAATTATCATAGATATTCAAATATTAAGAGCCCTTAAACTTTAACACTTTAAATAAGAAATAGCAACTTAGTTCTTTCACATTTCCTTTGTCTTTCTTCTTGATGATTCTTTGTTATTCTGCATACCTAAATTGCCTTCTGAATTAAACACAATTTGTTTACAGGTCTCTCTGATATATTTGTTTTGGTTTGTAGCTTCACTCGGCGTACAACTCCACTGGAGTCTGGCAAGGTTTCTATTACTCTTCCCATTATCCATGAATTGCGTGGGGAAGAACTGTCCACCACCAACACCACATCGCTTGGCTCAAAGTTCCTTTTAGGTCTTACCCATTTACTGCGCTCTTGTAGAATGGGTAGGTACTCATGAGTCCATCTACTCCAAAACAAATCTGCAAGATATTGGACCTGTTTCCAGCGTTTTCTCAAATATTGGTGCTGTTTTTTGAAGAGACCCGGTGGTAGGCTGGGTTGAGTTTTCAACAACAGTAAATGGTTAGGCGTCAGACACTCAAGGTCATTCGGATTGTCTGATGCACTAGTTATTGGTCTGTTGTTAATGATGCTTTCCACCTCGCACATGATGGTGTGAAGACTGTCATCGTTGATAGACTGTTCTTTTAAATGTCCTCCTTACTGTGTGGATTTGACGCTCCCAAACTCCACCCTGATGGGAAGCAGCTGGACTGTTGAAGATCCATTTAATGCCTTTCTATAGCATGGCATTTTCGATTTTGCTATGGTTCAGGTTTCTCAGTGCTTCTCGCAACTCTCTTTCGAGAGCGCATGACTGACACCTGTCCTCTTCTACTTATGAAGCGCCTCAAAGTGTTTATGCACGAGTCAGTGTCCAAGCTACCAGCTACTTCAATGTGTACTGCTCTAATTGTTAGGCAAGTGAACAACACTCCATACCTTTTCACAGTACTCTGGCCCCGTTTAACTTCGAAGGGTCCGAAGTAATCGACACCCACGTTTGTTAAAGGGGGTTTATCAGGTAGCAAGCGGTCTTCTGGCAGGCTTGCCATTTTTTGCTCTCCAACTCTTCCATTAAGTCTGCGACAAATTGAGCATTTATATATAAGGTTTCGAATAGCTGAGTTAGCTTGAGGGATCCAGAATTTTTGTCTGAGCATAGAGAGCAGGTAGCTTCGACCACAGTGCCCATATCTTTGATGGATGTCATTTAGAATGAGAGTGGAAATTCTGGAGTGCTTAGAGAGAATGACGGGATGTTTGGATTCTTCTGGCATGGTCGCGTTGTTGAGCCTACCACCCACTCTTAATATTTCATCCTGAAGCACAGGGTCAAGCTTGTATAGTTGACTTCTTCTCTTAAAAGGAACATTCTTTCTCAGAGCCTCAATTTCTTTTAAGATGTTTTGTTTCTGACTGTACTGAATGAGTTGAATTTCTGCTTGATTAAAGTCTTCCAGGCTCAGTGACTTTCCTTTCATTGTTGATCTGTATTTTTGAATTTGATCCTGTAGAAGGGCTGCTTGTTTCTTTGTGTCTTTCTCTGATTGTGCAATGGATGATTGGAATTGTTTCCTTGCTTTGCATAATTGTAACAATGTTTCTTTGAATCTTAGCATCCGTGCTGTTGCCCTTTTTGAATTGAGACCAGCCTGAGTAGTAATCAGTTAACTTACTCATAATGTCATTGCTTTCACTGATGTTGAGAACATTGACTTTGACTTCATTTTTTATTTCAGAAAGCCAAGAGGGTCGTAAATTGAATTGACGACAGAGAAAATACCTCTTCTGCTCAATGGCTTCTCCTTTACCTGGATGTTGTAAGTGAAGGTGTCATATTCTATACACCACTGCATGCCGAGTGCTCTCTCGATGGGCAGATAATCCTGATCCATGTCAAGGTCTTTTATTCCACTGGCCCTTTGATCTTCTGGGATAGACAATACCTTTCTACTATTGCTTACCCACTTCGTTAAGAAGAAACCTCCTTCAGAACACAAGCCTCTAAAGTCTTTTACTAGGTCAATTGCTTCTTTTTCTGTGCACACTGATCTCAAACAGTCATCTACATAAAAATTGTACAGAACTGTTTCAACAGCTTTTTGAGATGTTACATCTTGTCTGTCTTCTGCTGTCTTTCCCAGTGCATAAGAGGCGCAGCTAGGCGATGAAGCGGCCCAGAATAAGTGCACCATCATTCTATACTCCTCTATAGGTGCATTCAAGTTGCCATCTGGTCACCAAAGAAAGCGAAGCAGATCTGCATCCTCTTCAGGAACCCTCCCTTGATAGAACATCGACTCCACGTCTGCCATCATGGCTATCGGTTCTTCTCTAAACTTGGTGAGCATGCCAATGAGTGTATTTGTGAGGTTCGGACGTTGTAGCAACTGGCTGTTCAGAGACATGCTTTGAAAGGAAGCAGTACAGTCAAAGACCACTCAAATTTTCTTCTTCTTGGGGTGGTACACCCCGTGGTGTGGTATGTACCATACTCTGTTGTCGTTATGATCAAGCTGTTCTGTGGGAACTTTAACTGTGTATCCTTTCTCTATAATGCTCTTCATGAAGTTACTGTAGTCTTCAAGCAAACTTGTGTTCTTTTGAAGCCTTCTTTTCAGGTTAGCTGTACGCAGTTCAGCAACACATCGATTGTTTGGCATTTTGACTGATTCGTTTCTCAAAGGCAGTTTCACACAGTAATGCCCATTCTCAAACTTCATATTTTCCTGTACTGACCTCAAGAACAGTTTGGTCTCCAGGGACATTTCTTCCTTTTCTTCATAGTGGTATTCAGGAAAGTCTGAGTTATACTGCTGAATCAACAATTGCTCTATTTCCACCACTGAGAGACGATTTACTGTATGGTGCGGCAGTTTAGACCTTTCTGCAGAGTTGCTTTCTTTCTTGATGGTTCCATTCACCACCCAACCCAGTGCAGTTTTCACAGCATATGGTTCATCTTGTTGGCTATTTATGATGTACCATGGCTCCATTGCCTTTGAATTGTTGGCTCCAATTAGAAGACTGGAACATTTGCATTAATGTTAGGTATGCTTACTTCCCTCAAGTAGGGCCATTTGCTGATATCTTCTTGTTTAGTAATGTTCTCGTTTTGAACAGGAACGTTGCTGTGTGTAAAGACTTTAGGAAGCTCGAAGTACTTTGTGTCTTCCAGCGCACACACCTCCAGGTCTGTGAGGATAAAACTGCTTACTAGCTTCTGCTCTCCTGGCTTATCTTGACACATAGTGCTCAGTAGAATCTGAGTTGGCTTCCCTTTCAAGTTCAATTTCAGTTCTTCAGTACAAAAGGTAGCTGTACTTCCTGCGTCCAGGAAAGCATACGTTTCCACATATCTGTCACTTTTACCTGACTTGACTTTTACTGGCACTATTGATAACACAGTTATCTCCTGCAGACTCTGAGAAGTTGCTTGATTGGTGGTTAAGGGAGACCTGGGCCCATGAGATCTTTTTGTCAAATGATTCATCATCTTTTGCACTTTTGTGGTCCTCCTTAATGTGCAGAATGTCTGGGTGTTTTTGGGAGCATTCCTTACATTCCATTCTTTTCTTACACATCTTGCTAAGATGGCCTTGAGTTAAGCATCCATAGCACAAGCCCTTAAACTTCAGGAACTCCAGACGTACTTTATGTGGCTGCTCTTTGATTTCACTGCATGACTCGAGAGCATGACTTTTTGAGCAAAACATACATGGTTTCTCAAAGGCATTGACTATCTTGGGTGGACTGATCTTTTTTCTTGGCATATCTTGTGGCTTTCTATCTTCCATGCAAATGTTGGTTGCAAAACTGCTCTTACTTATTCCTTTTTTAGGATACTTCTCTTTCGGATTCGCCTTCACTGTTACAACATTGCGGTTGTCTAGTATGTCTCCAAAGAGAGGGTCCATGGCCACTTTTCCTTGACGATCAATAAAGTCAACTAAATGAGTAAATCTGGCTCTTACTCCTTGTCGCTCTTTGATGTCATAAGCTTCTGATCGCCACCTTTCTTTCATTTTGTATGGCAACTTTGAAATGACAACTCTCATATCGGTAGGATTTGTCCATTTCCTCCATAGACTCTCCAACCTCCAGTGTTGGAGCCATATCACCCTGCAGCCCAAGACTGGTTGCCCACTGATGCTAAGCAGGGCTGAGCCTGGTCAGTACCTGGATGGGAGACCTCCTGGGAAAATTTGATTGCTGCTGGAAGAGGTGTTAGTGAGGCCAGCAGGGGGTGCTCACCCTGTGGTCTGTGTGGGTCCTAACACCCCAGTGTAGTGACGGGGACACTATACTGACAAAAAGCACCGTCTTTCGGATGAGACGTTAAACCGAGGTCCTGACTCTGTGGTCATTAAAAATCCCAGGATATCCTTCGAAAAAGAGTAGGGGTGTAACCCCGGCATCCTGGCTAAATTCGCCCATTGGCCTCTGACCATCATGGCCTCCTAACCATCCCTATATCTGCTGATTGGCTTCATCACTCTGTCTCCTCTCCACCAATAAGCTGGTGTGTGGTGGGCGTTCTGGCGCAATATGGCTGCCGTCGCATCATCCAGGTGGATGCTGCACACTGGTGGTTGATGAGGAGATTCCCCCCTTCTATGTAAAGCGCTTTGAGTGCCCAGAAAAGCGCTATATAAATGTAAGGAATTATTATTATTATGTATTAATAATATGGTGCAAAGCATATGCACTCAAGGCTTTACCATCATCAGACTTGATCTGAGGCCACATTAAAGCTTTATCGATGTAAGCCCTTGCTATGATCAGCTCGTCTCCATAATGCCTTTGGAGAAGTCGTTTTGCTTCTTTGAAACCTCTGCTTAACGGCATATATTCACAGCTCCTGATGGGCTCTTGTGGTTCTCCTGCAGTGTATTGTTCTAGATAATATAGCTTGTGCTTTTCATGGTCTGTTTTATGTTCGATGGTATGCTCAAAGGACCTGATGAAGGATTTGTAGGTTAACGGATCACCAGTAAACACTTGGATGTCTTTACTAGGAAGATGAATTTGTCTTTGCTGTTTCACAAGCAATTCCGTTATGTCATGTTGTTTCTGCATAACATGTATTATGCTGTCGTTTGCTTGATGATTAGCACTGAGGCCAGTGTCTTCTGGTGTGCCTGGCTGTGGTGCTGCAAGTGACATGGGATTCGGGATAGCTTTTGTTCTACTTTTCACCACAGCTGAATGACAAGGAGAATAGTCTCTTTGCTCTGGTTTCAGTTCTGATTGCTTCAGGTGGATTCCTTTTCTTTGCTTAGATTGTACGCTGCTTCTGCCATCCTTTGAATGTTCATACTCTTTTAGTACATTTAATTTAGCATTGCTCTCTGCAAGTTCCGTTTCAATTTCAAGTTCAAGTTCCTCCATTTTTGCTTTGAGCTGCATCTTTTCAATTTCAAGTAGTTTTTTCTTTAAAGCTGCTCCTATTGCTAGCAAAGCTGCATGTTTTGATTCTTCTCATGCACATGCAGACAATACTGAGGAGGAAATTGATCCACTGTCAATATCTGAATCATGCTTCTGTTTTGATTCACTCTTGTTCACAGATACCTGCGAGGCACTGTCGTGAGGAGTAACATCATCCTCCATCTCATTTTGTCCTTTTCTATCACCAACAGCAGCCATCCAATCTTCCGTTTTCTTTACAAAAAGTCTCAAGGAATCCATTTTAGGCTCAAACCAATTTCTTTGATCTGCAATCTTTTCATCTTCAGGCAGAAGATCTTGAACTTGCGCATTTAAATCGGTAAACTCGGTTATCAACTGTGCAAAATCAAGTTGCATCAGATCTGGCACATTCTGCAGATTTCCATCATCAGTCATTAACCTTTCAATGGTTTTGATCTTACTGGTAAGAGCAAAAAATTTAGCTCGTCTCAAACTAATGCATCTGTGACGTTGCTCTTCTAATGCTCTTTCGGTGGGTTTAAACACTCTCGTGTTCAAAAACTGCAACGTCATCCTCTCCTCCCTCAGCAATCATATAATTCCACCCGTGCAACTGCTTGCAGATGATTAAAAGTACACGTAATACTGTAATTCATGTAAAAATGTATCATACGTATGCATTTCAGCTTCTTCAAACATGCATTGTGTCATCTTTATAGCCGATTCAAAAGTCCGTTACCTCATTCATGGAGCTTCAATGAGTAGGGACGTTCTTCTTTGTGACGCAGTTTTTAAAGGGTTAGTTCACCCAAAAGTTTAAATTAGCCCATAAATTACTCACCCTCAAGTCATCCTAGGTGTATATGACTTTCTTCTTTCAGACGAATCCAGTCGGAGTTATATTAAAAATTGTCTTTGATCCTTCAAGCTGTTTAATGGCACTCAGCAGGTGTTGCATGCATCAGTCCAAAATAAGTTAAATAAAAAGCACCCATCCATAAAAAAACGTCTCACACAGCTCCAGGGGGTGAACAAAGGCCTTCTGTAGTGAATCGATGCGTTTTTGTAAGAAAAATATCCATATTCAAAACTTAATAATCACTTTAATGTAGCTTACACCAACAGCTGTACATGGAAGCAGCTCCGGGCTGATGACGTATGAGTTCAGCGTTGCGCATGCGCCAGTGAGTCTCGTGAAAACAAATGTTTGTTAACAGAAGCAAAGGAAGCAAAGTTTCCTTACTTTAGCAAAGGAAAACCAGTCTCCTCTTGGCTTATATCGAAATCCTCCGACATTCTTCTTTACAAATCCTTGTTTTGTACTTCTAATTAGTGACCATTGTTTTGTTTTGATCTCTCCACTGCGCTTCCGCATTCGTCACTTCTGAGCGGCGCATGTGCAAAGCCGACCTCATATCTCATGCTCCCGGAGCTGCTTCCGTGAACAACAGTGAACGCAAGCTAGATTAAGTGATTATTACATTTTGAATATGGATATTTTTCTAACAAAAACGCATCGATTCGCTACAGAAGGCCTTTGTTCACCCTTTTTTTATGGAGGGGCGTTTTTTATTTAACTTCTTTTGGACTGATGCATGCAACACCTGCTGAGTGCCATGAAACAGCTTGAAAGATCAAAGACAATTTTTAATATAACTCCGACTGGATTTGTCTGAAAGAAGAAAGTCATATACACCTAGGATGACTTGAGAGTGAGTAATTTCTGGGCTAATTTTAATTTTTGGGGGAACTAACCCTTTAATCCACCGGAGAATAAAGCCGTGTCCGCTATTTATAATCCGCGATCATCAAACATTTCCGTGTTCATTCACAGACGATCCTCTGTCGGTTATGTCCTTGTCACAAGCGCGGCATCCACGCACCTTTAGTTCACTTTCCATCTCCACAGAGCGAGTTTTTTGACTAAATAACATGATAGCAATCCATCTAATTTCTAATTTCTGTTGCTTCTTCTTGTGTGAGCGTGTATTGAACTCGAATAACATCCAAAAGCCCAGTCATTTCCTTTTAAGAAAGTTTAATAACAAAAAATAACTGGAAATGTTACACGGTCAAAAAACTGTAGCGCTCCAATCTTGCATGAAACAAATTCTAACGGTTCTTGCCGGAAATGACATCAGCATCATTTTCAATATTTATATGAAACATGTTAAATTATTTAAGTACAATTATTGAACAATTTCTTTATCCAAACAATAACTTATTTCACATCTATATAAATAAACAAATAACTTAAATGGCTCTTACATTTAATATATTGGTTTTGTTAAAAATTATTTTCGTTAAATGCAAGACTGAAATGCAATGCATTATCATTATTTATCCTTAATTGTGTATTGGCCTTTAAGCAGTCCTCTTGTTAATTCCCCAGTCTGTTTTTTAATCAAATTAACAAAGACTGGCAAACATGCTTGTCAAGGATTTTATTGGGCTAGATTTTGAGTACAAATCTTGTTTAGGCATCTGAGAACGCTGATTATCTCCATTCAAAAACAAACCTGACTTGCAGAATCAACAGTAAACAAGCTGGTTAGTCCAGATATCGGACTTGCATGCATTTTTACAGTTGTTAAAAGCATAAGGGCATTGCATTTTTGGAATCTAGCTTTCAGCACATTATTTTGAATTTTGGTGTTTATTTTGTATTTTTATGGTGTGTGAGAGCTGTCATATAATAGGCCTAATGACTCACCTCCTGGTTCAGGAAACAGTAGAGAACTGCCACAATGAGGCCCTTAAGAAAATCAATGAAGAGAAAGTCAGTTTTTGTCAATTGAATAAAATGTTCCTCAAATCAAATATCATAGATCCATCTCTCTTCCTCTCCCTTTCATCTCAGTGTTTTGAGACAAAACAATTTTATGCTGTTAACACTGTTTACACCATTCATGCATGCATCTGTGTATCTGTGTTTTTCGAGTCATCCGGATCAGATCCTAATCCTTCAGAAGTATCCATGAGATTAAATGTATGACGGTCCAGTGCTGAAGTACACATCCACAGTGAAGAATCAGATAATTCCACACTAATAACATCCAACAGCTTACACATTTTGCAGGTGTCACTCTGAATATAAACATGATAGGAATCGTTCATTAATTCTTATGCTGTTAATTGTTCTGTAGAATCCAAAAGGAACCATTCTGAAGAATGTTTGTGCTTGTGTTCGAGTTCAAATTTGTTCTTTTTAATCAATCAAAAACACACGGCGCAAAAACTGTCCAATTCATGAACAAATGACTCTTCTAAACTGGTTGTTTTTAGCAAATTAAAAACATACAGCACAACTAATGAAGTCAGATTCTCAAACAAATGACTCTTTTAAATAGTATTATTTTATTTTAGTTAATCAAAAACAGACAAAACAACCAGTGCAGTCTGATAAACAAGCAAAGGACTCTTATGAGCTTGAGTTTGATCATTTTAGAATAATTTTGCACATTATAATTTCTTGTGCTAGACATTGATTGAGTTTAAAGATGGTATCCATAGAACTACTCTTCAATTTTCTACTTTTGTGTTCCATGGAAAAATACGGGTTTGGAACGACATGAGGATTAGTAAATAATGGCACAATTATCATTTTCAGGTGAACTACAGATACTGTCAGATCAGTGGCACATAAATGCTGCTGTAGAGGTGTTTTTAAATGTCCAAGGATCAGTGAGTGATAGCCTTGAAGGTGGCTAAATCAAAATATTGCTCTTTTTGAGCAGTCTGACATAGCACACACACACCTCAATATATACTATATATACACAGGTTATATATATAGTATCTAACTGAGATGTCCTAAGATACCAAACCTGTCACTAGGACCGCCGTAGGCTCTGTAAACAGCAAATAGCAATCTGAAAACTTGAGGTGCCTCTCTGCCTGTCAGTCATTTTGCACATTCGGGGTGAGCTGACATGTCTGACTAGTCAAGATAAATGACACAGTCTTACTTCAATGTTAGCCTTCACAGAAAGTAATTAGCATTAAAAAAACGCACATCACGGACATCATATTAAACCTTTACAAGAAGGTAACAGCCTTCCTGTTATGTTTCTCGAACTCCTGCATGGAATTAATTTTTAAAATTAGTCATCTGCCCTTCAGGAAACTCAATTAGTGTTCCATCTAACTAAGTAATATCTCTAAAGCCCCAATGTCCATCTCCTATCTCAGGAGATCACAGGTGAGAATGAGGTCTGCTCTGAGCTTGTTTTGATCTGAGCTCATCTGAAGGCTGGAATACATGACTTTAAAAATCTGAACAGAATACTAGACATCATACACTTTTGGATTTTGTAAATGGTTGAAAATGGAGAAAAACTGGCCATCATTTACTAAACGACTGGCAATAGCACACCGACCACAAACTCTTGTAGAAACATGTGCTTCATTGTTATCATGTGACTCATTAAAAAGAAAAAGTAATCCGTTAGTTAATCAGACTACAGTAGTTGCACTGCATGTTTTTAATTGAATAAAAATAACTGATTTAAAAGTTTGTGAATCAGACTACTCTGGTTGATTTGTACGTTTTTGGTTTACTAAAAAAGAGCCATTTTAAAAGAGTCATTTGTTTGCAAATCAGACTACGCTGGTTGCTTTGTATGTTTTTTTTTATTAAAAGAATAGTTGTAAAAGAGCCATTTGTTTGTGAATCAGACTATACAGTGTTTGCTAAGTGTTTTTGATTTAATAAAAAGAACTGGTTTGAAAGAGTCATTTGTTTGTGAATCAGACTATACAGTTTGTGCTAGGTGTTTTTGATTCAATAAAAAGAACTGGTTTAAAAGAGTCATTTGTTTGTGAATCAGACTATACAGTTTGTGCTAGGTGTTTTTGATTCAATAAAAAGAACTGGTTTAAAAGAGTCATTTGTTTGTGAATCAGACTATACTGTTTGTGCTAGGTGTTTTTGATTCAATAAAAAGAACTGGTTTAAAAGAGTCATTTGTTTGTGAATCAGACTATACTGTTTGGGCTAGGTGTTTTTGATTCAATAAAAAGAACTGGTTTAAAAGAGTCATTTGTTTGTGAATCAGAATATACCGTTGTTGAGGTGTTTTTGATTCAATAAAAAGAACTGGTTTAAAAGAGCCATTTGTTCGTGAATCAGACTATACTGTTTGTGCTAGGTGCAGTGCCGATCCTAGACTTTGGGGGTCCTACGCAAAAGTGGGGTGGGGATTGAGAACAGTGTCTCTTCCGCGGATCGGTAAGCTTTCAACTGTTTTTTTTAGTCTCGAGCAAGACTAAACACGACATTCACTTTACATGATTTGACTGATTTTTACGTAGAAAGGGCGACAGCACACCGCATTAAAATAAATGATCATTCATGTTTTCATAAACGCTGGCCAAATTCAAAAACAAAACTAAAATGAAATCATCTTTGAGAGCAAGAGGGCCCCCTGGTGTTTCGGGGGCCCTACGCAGCTTGCATATTTTGCGTATAGGGAGGATCGGCTCTGGCTAGGTGTTTTTGATTGACTAAAAGAATAGTTGTAAAAGAGTCATTTGTTCATGAATCAGACTACGCTGGTTGCTTTGTTTATGATTGGCAAAGTCATTTGTGCATAAATCGGACTATACTTTTTGTGCTGCATGTTTTTGTTTGATTAAAAAACTGGTTTAAATTAATCATTTATTCATGAACCAGGCAACAAAGGTTGCTTTGTATGTTTCTGATTCACTAAAAAGAACCATTTTAAAAGAGTAATTTGTTAATTAATTGAACTACACTGGTTGAACTGTACTGTATGTGTGTGGTTCACTAAAAAAGAACCATTTGAAAAGAGTCATTTGTTTGTGAATCAGACTGTACTGTTTGTGCTGTGTGTTTTGATTTAATAAAAAGTTAAATACAGTGGTTAAATACAGTCTTAACTCGTTTGTGAACTACACAGGTTGCTTTTCATGTTTTTAATTCACTAAAGAGAACCATTTTAAAAAGAGACATTTGTTAGTTAATCAGACTACACTGGTTGCACTGGAAGATTTTGATTCAATAAAAAGAACAGACTGAAAATTGTCATTTGTTCATGAATTGAACTATACTGTTTGTGCTGCATGTTTCTGATTCACTAACAAGAGCCAGTCAGAAAGAGTAATTTGTTTGTGAATCACACACTAAATTCATGAACTCCAAGTGCCGAAAATCTGCAGACTGGTTCTGGTTTTACCAACTAGCATCAACACATCTATCTGGGCAAAAGACGTGACGTGTATTCAAGCCTTAAAGGGTTAGTTCACCCAAAAATGAAAATTCTTGTCATTAATTACTCACCCTCATGTCATTTCAAACCGTAAGACCTTCGTTCATATTCGGAACACAAATTAAGATATTTTTGATGGAATCTGAGAGCTCTCTGCCCCCCCCATAGACAGCAATGTAATTACCACGATCAAGGTCCAGAAACGTAGCAAGGAGATCGGTAAAATAATCCATGTTACATCAGGGGTTCAACCGTAATTTTACAAAGCTACGAAAATACTTTTTGTGCGCAAAAGGAAAAAAAAAATAATGACTTTATTCAACAATTCGTCTCCTCCGCGTCACCCTGTAGTGCCATTTTGGAGAGTATCCGCTGGACGTAAACACACGGATATGCTGTTTTCGTTCAGATCAAATCACAACAACGTAGGAAACAGATCCGGCGTGACGCAGCTGACACAGAACAGTATACGCTGTCTACGTCCAGCTAATACTCTCCAAAATGGCGCTACAGGGTGAAGCGGACGAGACGAATTGCTGAATAAAGTCGTTTTTTTTTTTCTTTTGCACACAAAAAGAATTCTCGTAGCTTCATAAAATTACGGTTGAACCCCTGATTGCACATGGATTAGTTTACCGATCTCCTTACTACGTTTCTGGACTTGGGAACATTTCAGTTGTATTGCTGTCTATGCAGGGTCAAACAGCTCTCAGATTCCATCAAAAATATCTTAATTTGTGTTCTGAAGATGAACGAAGGTCTTACGGATTTGAAACGACATGAGGGTGAGTAATTAATGACAGAATTTTCATTTTTGGGTGAACTATCCCTTTAATAAGTTTATGCGTGCTGTGTTTGTGTTTAAGCGGTGCTGTGATGATAGCGGGGTGAATAACCTGGAAGGAGCCCAGACACAGCTCGATGCAAAGCCGCAGGCTCACGTTGAAGTATTCTGGGAGGAAGTTGTAGACCATGTAATGAGTGCCGAAGAGAGGGATGAGGAGGAGGGTGGACTTGGTCAGTCGCCTGAGGGGAGGAGAGATAAAGGATGAAGAGGAGGAAGGGTAAGAGTAATTGGGCAGATTAATGCTGAGAGATTCTGGTGAGTGGACTTTATGGATTCAAACAAGTAAGAACATGATAAGGCATGACTTCAGACAACACCGTAAAGGAATAGTTCACGAAAAATCAAAATACTATCAATATTTACTCACCCTGTCATTACAAATACTTTGAGGTCCCTCACTGTTTAATATATTAAAATTCAAATCACTCACGGATCAATAAACTCGCTGTGTTTTACTATATTAGCACCACTGCACACAGTTTTAGTGCAAAACCATCAAATAATCTGACAGAAACTCTTAATAACACAGATCCTAGAAAGCGTAGCTGTCATTCACAGGCCTGTGTGAATATAAACATAACAGCAGCAAACACTCATTTTTGGCAAGAACAAAGAGTCTCTTCATGATAGCACCATTAACGGGACACATAACCAAACGCATACACAAATCTATCTCCAAATTATCATTCAGTGCTCTTAAACATGAGCTGTGCCAGGCAGAAATGTACTGGAAATCATCCTCTGACACATGGATATAAAAACAGTACTGAAATTTGATTATGTTGCTTGGCAACAGCCTACAGTTTGACTATAGGAACTGGCAGAAGAACGGTTTATTTTGATTATTGTTATAATGAAAACATTTTCAGTTGATTACCATAATCATATACCAAAGTACTTAAAAGCATACCATGTACATGCCCAAAAACCATGGTACTGTGTCCAAAAAAAAGTACTATGGTTTTAATTTTATTGTTAATACTTACAAAAAAAACTACCAAAAAGAATGATATTTTGGACATGTACCATAGTATACCATGCTATTCTTGGAAGTACCCAGGTGTACCAATGAAATGTCAGTACCATGGTATATACGCAAGTACCATAGTTTTACCATTTCATACCATCACACACAATCTCAAATTATTATCTATAATCAAGGTATTTATTTACAGAGAACTACAAGGTACTTTAAAGAATACCATGAATTGCCATGATACCATATCCACATGTCATGGTAATGCCATGGTCATCTATTGAAGCATACAGCCTTTTTTCATAATACTATGGTATTGATAGAGTACAACAAAATATTTAAAGGGGTCATAAATGGCACCAAATACACAAAATAATGATCTTTAAAAAAGCATCATATGACCCCTTTAAGAGAAAAGAATGGTATTGAGATGGTCCTGTTTGAGTTTCTTGTGGGCTGTATTATTATTGTTGATTATTATTTAATTCATTTAAATAAAGTTTAAATAAAATAAAATAAAATTGAAATATTAGATGAAAAACTTTTGCATTGGCAACTAGTTGAAATAGTACTAAAATTACTACAACTAAAACTGCTTAATATTTTCATGTAAGAAAAAAACGCTATACAATACCATTCAATTGTTGTCAATTGAGGAAAATATGATTTTGAAAAAAATCAATACTTTTATTCAGCAAAAATGCATTAAATTGATCACAAGTGGCAGCAAAGACATTTATAATTTTATTTAAAGAAAAATCTAATAAAGGTGGTTCAGTGTACTTTGTATTCATTAAAGAATCCTGAAAAAATAATAATAATAATTTCCACAAAAATGGTTCAACATAAGAACCATCATTAAAAATTGCGCACCAATAATAATTGAGCCACAAATCAGCTTATTAGAATTCAGCTTTGCCTTCATAGGAATAAATTACATTTAAAACAATCAAATTGAGAAGTTATTTTAAATGGCAATTTTTCACAATATTACTGTTTTTACTGTATTTTTGATTAAATAAATGCAGCATTGGTGAGAATAAGAGACTTTATAAAAACATTTAAAAAAATCTTAATTATTCCAAACTTTTGGTTGCCAGTGTATATACATTGTATAAGAAAGTGAATTCAAAATATTAATAACACTGTAATAATTCAAAGTAACTTTGAATTAAAAATGCCTAAAAATATCGGATTTCCTGTGGCAGTGTTGTCATAATCAGCAGTGCTGTTACAGTATCTGGTGGGCTCTACGGGGGAAGTACAGTACAGTAGAGACGAAAGAACAAAGACACAGCACCTAAGAGAATCACACTTCCAGCAGCCGCCGTAGCTAAAAATGATCAAAGGATCCTCACAGTGACAATGATGTCTCGAGTCCACAACAATCTCCTTCAGCAGCGTTCTGGGAACTCAATTCTAATTCCTGTCAGCATGCAACGTTTGCTTCAGCTTTACATCTGTAGTGCTTATCCGTGAATCTCAAAGTCACTCTCAATGCATTTCATTACCACATCCCTGGAGTTCTTGCACGTTTATGGGGTTTGAAAGAACAACTTTTGCATAACATCCTGTCTACAAAGACAGACTCATTGTTACCGTAAGACATTATTTCTATATAATCTTCAGTTATATTAAATAATATTTATAACTTGAGTGCAACCAGTTATGTTAGCATATGAGGCACATTTTTAACCTGACAAAATATTTTTTTTTACAGTTCAGTTCAGCAGTTGGTGGAAAAATAAAAATGGTGTCTGATGGAGCTACTAAAAGAAGTATGTTTCAACTTAAGATTCAATTTCTACTGATTAATAAGCATTACTTTACATCTGTAGTGCTTATCCGTGAATCTCAAAGTCACTCTCAATGCATTTCATTACCACATCCCTGGAGTTCTTGCACGTTTATGGGGTTTGAAAGAACAACTTTTGCATAACATCCTGTCTACAAAGACAGACTCATTGTTACCGTAAGACATTATTTCTATATAATCTTCAGTTATATTAAATAATATTTATAACTTGAGTGCAACCAGTTATGTTAGCATATGAGGCACATTTTTAACCTGACAAAATATTTTTTTTACAGTTCAGTTCAGCAGTTGGTGGAAAAATAAAAATGGTGTCTGATGGAGCTACTAAAAGAAGTATGTTTCAACTTAAGATTCAATTTCTACTGATTAATAAGCATTGTAGTCATTAAATATTTTCTTTACAATAAGGTTGTAGATTAAACATCAGTTATACACTCAGCATGAACTATACAAATTATATTTTTGCAGCGTTTATTAATCTTGGTCAATGTTAATATCCAAAAATATTACTACATTACAGTGTTGTTATTGTTAAGTAAAAAGTAAAACAATATTTTGGCAAATTAAATTAAATTAATTAGAAAAAATGAGAAACAAATATTACAAATTACGCCCTGGCAACTAACTGAAATAAGTTTAGATTGAAGTACTAAAACTACTTAAACTGAAATAAAAATAAATGAGAGCTAAATAGAATTTACAAAAGTACATAGAATGAAAACTGAAAATATAAAAATAAATTCAAATGATTAATATATAATATATTGTAAATAAATATGCAAATAACACTGATATGAAAACATTAGTTAATGAATTATGAACTAAAATGAACTAGATGTATATTTATAAACTAATATTACCTTTCAGTTCATAATACCTAATGCATTTACTAAAGTTGATGTATTGAACCCAGTAGTTTGTTAGGCTTATTGTAAAGCTCTCACCACTTGAGCCACACTATCAATCCCACAATCCTCCACACAGACCTGCTGCTCAGCTCCCACAGAGAAGGAATTGAAAGCACCCACTCATCGCCACGCCTGAGGACACATGCAGTTCCTGTCCTGTTTCTGATAGCCCTGCTCATGGGTTTGCGGTGTTGTCTTGTTTTCTGTACCTGTACTGAGCTGAATTGTTGAATTGGATCAAGCGGGGGTTCAGTTTCTGCACCAGAATCCTGATAATGTTCATGAAGAGAAGGAAGTTCACCTGGTTGGGCAGGAAAACAGGAAAATATGAGCTGAAAATAAGTGTGTGTGAGCCAAACCCATTCATCCATGTCCTCGTGCTTTATTTCACCCCTATGGAAACTACAATGGGACCCTTGATGATCCACCAATAAGGAGAGTCTTCATTTATGTCCCAGCACCTGGAAAAAATCCAAAGGCCTGGATAAGACAGAGCTGATTTAAATCTGCATCTTCTCTGCTCTCACAATCCATTAAAAGACTAATTTCCTGTCCTATTATTGGAATTATTGTGTTTCTATGTGGTTGCTGGGGTGTTCTGGGTCATTGCTTACAAACCCAAGTCTTGTGATATTCTGGTTTCCAGATAGACACCCTCAATGTCCTAACCAGTAATTTACAATAAAGCAGCAAATGGCAAAAGTCATTGCTTTATCATAGGGCTGTCATTCATTCTAGAAGAGCGTTGCACGGGTGTCAATCTGGGACTTCTTGTAGCAGACTAGCTGCTGACGGAAAACATCAAAGGCGATGAGACTGATTTCTGTATTGTGCACTTGGCTTTAGGGGCTTCTTTAAATCCCTAACCCTAGTATGAACGAGCACCACTAAGTAAGGTAGGGGAAAATGTGCACTTACTCTGTGTCCTCAAAATACAGTCTGGAGCAGATCCAGAGGACGATGCAGACCAGTGGAAAGCCTGCGAGAAAAGACAAGAGACAGACAAAAAAGATTATGCTGTTAGTGAAATGGAATCTTACAGAGAGTGTTCAATGCAACTCTGTTAAAAATGAGCAGGGATAATAAACATAGAAGCTATTATTATCAATGATGATCACGATAATGACACTAAATGTAGAATCTGAAGCAGTTTACAGACTTTATTGAGTGATATCCAGACAGAAGCGCATTAAAAGAATCAGAGCTATGCTGTATGAAATATTAAGTGCCTTTTAGTTTAATTACCAAAAGTTGGCAAAATCCAAAATTAATAGTTTAAGCAATTATGAAAATAAGCTTGAATGTTTATGGAAATTAGACAGCACTTAGAGACCATTCATAAAGTATTAAACTTATTTCCAGTTTCCAGTGCTTATATATGCTTATATATATACATATGCTTATATATATATATATATGTATAATGTGGCGAGTATCCCGAGTCCAGATTAGCGTCGCCCTGGAAATGCCGCTGCCACACTGATCACCGACGCACAACACCTGCGCGCGATGAGTGGCGCACCTGGAGCTCGTTCCTGCTGGCCTTAAAAGCACCATGTATTAAACTCATTTCCAGTTTCCAGTGCTTATATATACATATGCTTTTATTTATATATATATATATATATATATATGGAGTTCCTCAGGGATCAGTTCTTGGGTCCCATCATACAGGCACATGGTTTCTCCTACCGTTGCTATGCTGATAACACACAGCTCTATCTTTCATTTCAACCAGATGATCCAACAGTAGCTGCACAGATCTCAGGCTGCCTGACGAACATCTGTTCTCATTATATATATATATATATATATATATATATATATATATATAAGATATAAAAGGTTAAAACTAAAAATAATTATATAAAATAACATGCACTGATGCATCGATCATGATAAAACCAGGAACATGTATAAGAACGAGAACAGTGATTTGCACATGTCTATGTTGAGAACTGCATCGACAATGTGATTTGAACTGTTTGTTCTTTCAATTGTCTGCTCAAATCAGAGACGATAGAGATGCCAATCACAAGAGTTGTTCTGACACTCCTCAGCCCTCCCAGGGTAACACAGAGCAGGAGAGAGAGAGAGAGAGAGACAGAGAGAATATAAATGGAAATTGAGTAACAAAACAAAAAAAGGATCATGCTGTACTTCACTGATTGGAGTCAGTGAGACTGTAATAGCTGCTAACATGAGAAAAATAATAGGTTTCAGAAATAAGCATGCATCGGTAATAAAATGGACATTACTGCAAAAATAAAACCCTAGAGGGGCTGCGACGTGTCACAAAGCACATACATTATTCTTTACATACATATGCTACTATTCAAAGGAATAGAGTTGGTAAAATGTTTAAATTTTTTGGAAAGAAGTCTCTTATGCTATCCAAGCCTGCATTTATGCGATCAAAAATTCAGTAAAAACAGTAATAATGTGAAATATTATTGCAATTTAAAATATCTGTTTTCTGTTATAATATATTTTAAAATGGAATTTATTTCTGTGATGCAAAGCTGAATTTTCAGCATCATTACACCAGTCTTCAGTGTCACATGATCCTATGATTTTTCCATGATCCGATTTTTATAGAAATGTTTACATTATAAATGTCTTTACTGTCACTTTTGATCAATTTAATGCATCCAAAAAAAGAAAGAAAATCGCACTTTTAAATAATAGTGAAAAGACTTTGTGAAAGACTTCATCCTATTATATATAGATATATGTCGGTCAATTCCACCAAAAATTACAAATGGTTAAGGCTAGAAGGGATAAAATTAATTTATTGTTAGCAATAAATAGGGGTAGGACTATGGGCCCTATCATACACCCGGTGCAATACATTTGCGCCCATTTGTGCGCCCATGGGCGTGCTGGTCTGAAAACGAGGTGTGTTCAGGTGCATTTCTATTTTGAGGAAAATGAAATAGACTGCGCCATTGACCAACAAAAACCTGGTCTAAAGTCTGGCGCAATATATATATATATATATATACACATGTTATTTAAAGAGTGCCTTAGTAATATGCGCCTATAGGAGGGTGCTCAACGTGCGTACACTTTGCTTATTACAAACACAGGGACACGCAGCAGCACACAAACATTTTTAAAAATGAAAAATGAAAGGATAAAAATGTAAAAGCACAACTGGCTTTTAAAGGGAATGGGAGATGAGACTCTGATTGGTTTATGGCATTTTATGGCCAAAACATACCCATTACTCATTAAGAGAATAGGGACAACCCTTTTAGACCATGCGTTGGGTGCGCCGGCCATTTTTCCCGTCCTTAAACTAGCAAAAGTGGATTCGGACACGCCCTAAGCGCAATTGCTCCGTGCGCTTTAGACCATGCGCTTAGATCGTTAAAATAGGGCCCTATGTGTTAATCTGACCAATGGCAGATGAGATGTGTTTGTCATTATTTTAGCAATTTAATTTAGTCTTCGCTCACATTTTTTTTGTCTCACCACTACTATAACGATATTGACACAGAAAAACAGTATCGCTGGAATCACTTTCAAAAAAAAATTTTCCCCACAGATGAACAATAACAAAATTCACAGCCAATCAGAATCCATTCTGCTTTAAAAGAGCTGGACCATTTATAGTTATTGTTCCCTGTGTTGTTGTGAATGAACCTTTGGTCAAAGAAATCATGTCAGGACTACAAACTAAGATCTAAGATCTAAATTTCAGTTTTTGTTCCTTCAATAACTCACATACACTCTTGAAAATAAAGGTGCTTCATGATGCCATAGAATAACTTTTTGTCTAAATTGTTCCATAAAAAACCTTTAACATCTGAAGAACCTTTCTGTTTCACAAAAGGTTCTTTGGGGCGAAAGAAGGTTCTTCGGATTATAAAAAGGTAAGAAAGAGATGGTTCTTTAAAGAACCTTTGACTGAATGGTTCTTTGTGGAACCAAAAATGGTTCTTCTATGGCATCGCTTGAAGAACCTTTTGAAGCACCTTTATTTTTAAGAGTGTAGTCTAAGGCAAGCTATAAACCTCATTTGTGATGGCCAGAGGAAAGAGCGTGAGAGAGGACAGGGCCGGATGGCTCTAGGGACAGAGATATGAGCATCTCACCCCAGCCCAGCAGAGCGAAACTCCAGAGACAGCGGCGGATGCGCGGGAAGTCCGAGACCAGCAGAGAGTTCAGATACATGGCTTCAACCAGCAACCAGAAGAAATTAGTCATGACGCAATAATGACAAAACACCACCGACACCTTACAGGCTGCCTGTGGAGAGAGAGAGAGAGATGCTGAGAATGATAAACAGGGCATGACGGCAAAAAAACAAGAGAGGAAGACATAAGCAGATGGAGAAAGTAGAAACTCAGCAGGAAATAAAGGAAGGTGAACATTTCTATTTAAAAATTAATGCAGCTTTCCTTGAAACTAGGGTCTGACATTTTTCTTTTTTAGTAGTTGTGTGTTTTTTCTGAATTTTTCAGAGGTGCGTTAACCTCTACTCCATTTAAAAGTTTGGGGTCAGAATTTTTTTTTTTTTGAGAAAGTAATTAACACTTTTATTCCACAAGGATGTACCATATATACAGTATATATATATATATATATATGAAAGATTAATATATATATCAAACGATTAATCGCGATTAATCGCAACCAATATAAAAGTTTTTGTTTACATAATATAATGTGTACTGTGTATATTTATTATGTATATATAATATAAATACACACACATGCATGTATATATTTAAGAAAAAGATGTTATGTTTATATATTAAATATATTTATATATAATATAAAATATAAGAATATAAATGTATATACATGTGTAAATATTTATAAATGAAGAATTTTAATTTAATAAAGAATTAATTAAATTGATCAAAAGTGACAGCAAAGTAATTTATAATCTTACAAAAGATTTCTGTTTTAAATGAAGCTGTTCTTTTAAACTTAGTAGTCGTTAAAGAATACTGAGAAATGTGAATCATCACAACTTTTTTCAACATTAACAATAATCAGAAATTCTGAAGTCTGGAGTAATGATGCTGAAAATTCAGCTTTACATCACAGCAATAAATTACGTTAGAAAATATATTCAGAAAGCTACTCAATATTAATGTTTTTACTGTATTTTTAATCAAATAAATACATCCTTGGTAATTTAGTTTTTTTTTTCTGTTTACTTCTTTCAAAAATATTCAAAAACCTTAAAGACCCCAAATTTTTTGAACGGCTTTGAAAGAGATTTAAATTCAGTTAATAATTTAAATTAAGTTTTTTGTTTTTTCTGTTCTTAAACATTGATTGGCTGTGATTTTGTTGTTGTCACAATGTGCCTGGTTTAGATGCACAGCATCGCATTTATCATTCCTGAAGAAGCCAATCCCAGAATGCATTGTGACTACTGACAAAAATGATCTAAGATGATGAATGGAGTCAGAAGGAATGTCAAATATAAATACAGTTAAGAATATTAAAAAAAAATACTGTCACAGATCCGTTGAGTCATTGAGGTCACAAGCAGCGTGTGTTTTGTTCTTCTCACAGTAAACCACATTTAAAGGCTGTTAGATCAGTGGCGTTGATGGACTCACTGTGGAGAGTGTGCAGTGATCCGTGTCGTCACTGGAGAACAGCGTAGCATCTTTGACAAACACAGCCACCGATTTCAGGATAAAGGTGAAAAACAGCTGCATGTGGATGTAGTTTCGAGCGCAGTGTAATCGCCTATAGAATACAAACAACAGTTGAGCCTTTGTCCGGTGTTGCAGTAACTACTTTAAAAATAGTTTCCAAGCTACAAGCTTATTTAAAGAGGTAAAGATGACAAGTTTGTGTAAAAAGGTAGCTAGACATGCTAAAGGGTACTCGCATAAATCTAACTATTATTTATAATAACATATATATATCAGTGATGCGTGTTGGATTTGGGGGTGGGTTTTTTATAGTCCATCAGTAAGCAGAGATGCAAACAGGTAAGGGGGAAAAAAGGCGAGAACCGGCGCATGCTCCACATGGAATTTTTTTTAAATATATTTGTTTTACATGCTCAATTGTAGTTACTTTAAGGTATTTAAAAAGTATATTTTTTTATTGCCTTATATGTCCAAAACTGTAATTTTTCACACACAAAAAACATCACAAAATTGTTGCAACATTTTACAAAAATCAAGATTGAATATATTTGGTCAAAATCCCATGTTATAAAAGATGAAGTGCTATGCAGGCTATTTAAGACAATATTGGCTGATTAGACCAAGATAGTTTAGTAAAGAGTAAAGAAAATACTATACAAAACTTACTAGCAGTTGCCAAGTGGTTATGAGTCTTTTCCAATACAAATAAGACCAGTCTACCTTTTCATAACTGAATATAAAAAGTTATGACCAGTCTGCAACCGGTGTTCTGACGATTTGTGCTACCCTGTCAGATTTTGCTACCTCCCATTAAAACAGATGGTAGCATAATTCGATAGCGAAAAGTGCTACCTATCAGATTTTGCTTCCAGCATGATATTAATAAGGTGTGAGGCTTTATTAACATGTACACCTACCCCAACCCTAAACCTACCCTTACAGTAGGATAAATACAGTGTTGGTAGCATAATCTGATAGGTAGCATTATTTGTCAGAACACCGGCCCCAGTTCTTTATTTACCCGTGTAAGATCACAAGTATGATAAAGCACTTTCTGATTGGATCAAATCTCAAAGGTGACCTATTTTGATCTAAAAAAAGTGAGTTGTCACCTAAAGGTGAGGAGTTTGCATCTATGGTAAGAAAGCATTGTAAAGCGCAGTACCTGAAGAGCAGCAGTATTACCACGGCAACAGAGAGCGACAGCAGTGACGCTCCATAACCAACAGTGTAGATCAGTTTCACAGTGGCAAAATATGACTCCTGAGGGATAAACATGCAGAAATCAATTACATTGTTCAGTTCTGAGAGTCTGTTTAAATACAATAAACATAAAGAGGTAAATCAATCAATCTGCACATCAGTCAGCCAATAAATCCAACACTTGATGAAATGACGAATGAATGAAAAATTATTTGATTTCATTTAATTACCAGTTATGACAGACAGACATAACTGTGAAAGCCTAAAGCCTCAAAATAAGCATCCTAAAATATTATATATTTGGGGGGTTTTTTGTTTAAAAAAAAAAAATCTATCAAGCCTTTTAAATATTTTAGTCATTTCAATTACTTTATAATGAAAGCATTAATTTATTTGTAAATTAACTACATCTGAATTTTATTGAACATAATAAAATTGAAAACTTTTTGAACTATAAGCCGACTACAATAATGGAGACAGACATGATTGTGAAAGCCTAGAGCCTGTTTATTCTGACAAATAAGAATTCAAATATATGTATTAACATTTGATATAATTTGTAATCTTTAGTAAAGAAAGAACGAAAGAAATATTACATACATATAAATATTAAATATAATAAAATATTTAAAAATAATTTAAGAAATGTTACTTGATTTAAATCTAGTCAATAAAATGATTTTGTACATGTAATTACTTCTTAATGTATTAATTTATTTATTGTAACACAATTTATTTCATCATAAAATGAAAAACTTTCAAAGCACTTTTAAAACTATAAGCCATTTATAAGTACGTTTCCCAGTGAGAATTATGATATACTGTATGCATATAGCTAAAGATTTCAATTATGTTTCATTTAAGATTCAATTGTCTCAGATGTCTAAAATTGTCAACAAAAAAATTACAATTGTTAACATACAGTACGACTATAGAGCTATTGGTCTTGGAGTAATTTGATGTGAAATGTTTGAGTTCATTTTGAGATTATTGACTATCTTTACAAATCTAAGCACAGTTTGAGACGTCGTTGAGATCTCTTCTGAAACTAGAGGAGGCTCATGTGAGATTACGGTGTTTTTTACTCGGAAGAACAACCTGAGAAGCAGGGGATTTAAGCAAAAGCATATGGATAAATAGGAAATGATTATCAAATATATGCGAGTATGAATTTCAGAATATGTCTGACCTCGGGGATTTCATCCTCAACAATGCAGGCCTCGTGGTAAGGAGGGAACGGATGTGACCAGCCGCCAGCCGTGCAGTTACGACTCACTATACCTAGAGCAATGAATTAAAGGTCAAAGGTCAATGACAAGAATTCAAGACAATCTCTGCAAGCTTTTCAAAAAAGGTTAAAAAGGTTCTTCAAAATAAATGAATAAACACAAGTTGGCATTTCATGCGATTTGCACTGACTTTTTCTCTAGAGAATGAGATGCAATGCATAAAGTTAGCTTGTGCTAAAGCTGAATGTGAAATGAGGTCTGTATCCTTTTCTACACGAGACAGCGATACAATGATGGAAATGTGACCAGCCGCCAGCCGTGCAGTTACGACTCACTATACCTAGAGCAATGAATTAAAGGTCAAAGGTCAATGACAAGAATTCAAGACAATCTCTGCAAGCTTTTCAAAAAAGGTTAAAAAGGTTCTTCAAAATAAATGAATAAACACAAGTTGGCATTTCATGCGATTTGCACTGACTTTTTCTCTAGAGAATGAGATGCAATGCATAAAGTTAGCTTGTGCTAAAGCTGAATGTGAAATGAGGATCCTTTTCTACACGAGACAGCGATACAATGATGGAGTGCTGCTTTAGTCGCCATCAGACGAAACTGCAGCAGCACAATTTCATTTGAGAGCTTTCAGATTTGAACGCACTGTTTGGCCGGGCTCAGACCGGGTTTAGTTTGTTATACTGGCAGATCTGTGGAGACTCTGAGATGTTATTACACTGGCAAATATGAAAGCCTGCCTTCTTTGGCTCAAACTTACAAAGCCTTGAAATTGAGGCTGTGCATTTTACCATTTGAGGATTCCATTTATATGCTCAAGGTAGATGTGTCTATTGTTAAAGCTCACAGACTGAAACCAATTGGTTTGCTCGCAGAAGCTGTTAATGTGGAAATGCATGTATGGAGCAGGGTTGAGCAAACTCTCTTTCAATTCATTAGACAGAAACATTTCGATTTCTCGAATCCAAAGAGTCAACCAATACGTCTCCATGACATTCTGTTCCAGACATTTTGAGATCTATCAAAACAAAAATAAGCACATAATTTGCCCAATTATGTTTCTATTATGTGTATTTCATTAAGTGCTATTAGTGATGTCAAAACAATTAACACTGCCGATCGAAAATGTTTTAATTTAGCCAAAAAGCACCACAAAATGCCCACAACATTCTTTTTAATAGTTTTCAACTATTCCATTAAAGTTAGTTAATTAAGTATTATTAAATATAGTTACCATCTCAAATGTTGCTTATTAAAAAAATCCTATATTTTAATTTTATTATATAATTAAATTAACAATTAATTTAATAATTCAAAACATGCATGGATAATTTTATTTATAATTTTAATTTATCAAATAATATTGCTATATGAATTGTTACATCTCAAATGTCGGTTATTATAATAATTCAATGTTTTAATTTAATGCTATAAAATAATGTACATGGATAAATCACATTAAATCATTTAAGCAAATTTAATTGGTTAGTCATATAATACAATATTTTTTATTAATAATTCAATATTTTTATTTAACAAATATTGTTATATGAATTGTTATCTGAAATGTTGGTTATTAATATAATAATAACATGCATGGATGGATATTTAATTTTAAAAAATCCAAAAATGAATGAATCAAATAATACTGGTACATACATTTATTTGCATTTGGATTGTAACTAATACAGTCCAAAGTTTTAATTTCATTCTTAATTAAATACATATAAAATATGATACACACACACACAAATATATATATATATATATATATATATATATATATGTGTATGTATATATACAGACACAGAAAATGACGTATCAATAGTATTTGATAAATGAAAAAGTTTAATTCGATTTATTTGCCAAACAATGTTATATGAATTATTATATCTCAAATGTCAGTTATTAATCCTATTTATCTATGTATTTCTATTTAAATTAAGATTACAATTATGCATCCAGTTTGCCACCTTGACCTAAGTCACATTCAGGTACTGAACTGTCATTTTTAACTTCAGTTTTGAATCATGCACAAGTTTGATGTGGATGGTGTGTATGTGTGTCGCACCTGTGTTGTTCTTGATGAGAGAGAAAACAGCAGGACAGTGCAAGTGGACCGTCTCACCCACTGCAGCTCTGGGCCAACACACTACAGCATCCCATACTGGCAGACAACCTTCTCACACACACACACAAAGAGAATGTTTTTACCCATGAACTCAAGCACCAAACATCAAGAAAACAATGTATCCGAAAGGCTTTCTGTGGCACATAACAGCTAGAGTTTGCTCTATCAATGTCCAGTTTGCCATGTTGGATCACCACAAGTACATCTGTGTATGTGAATCTCCTGCAAAGCTGCTTCCAAACACGACTTCACTTCTGGGATCCACTGGGAAACGAAAACGCAAGGCACTGCATTACAATGAGTGTGATCTCGCACGTCACCACTGACAGCTTATGGCAGTGTTAAATGAAAAGAAGACTTCTTTTCAAAACCATTTAAAAATCTTAATGACTCCAACCTTTTGAACAGTCATGTAATTTAGCCTTGGATAAAACTGGGAAATGTGCATATTGAGACCTCTGGCTTTTGATTGCAGAAATATAGTATCTCAAACACAGTTTGAGGAGAAAAATCTGAGAAGCAACAAAAGTCTCCATTAGCTCTCAATAGGGATGTAACGATTAGCGGTTTGACGATAAATCGTGATAAAATACCCCACGGTTAGTATTATCGTTTCATATTTATCACTATAACCGTATTCGATTACCGCGATTTGAACAACTGAGGATAAATAAATACTGTACTGCACAGGGCTCCAGTGTGCGACCAAATAAGTGCATTTTGCGATAATTTTTTCTGCCGGTGCGACTAAATTTTGTGTGCGGTCGCACTGGCGCAACCACCGCATTGTTTAACTCATAAGCGCTGCATTTCTGTTGCATGTGAGTTCTGTTATATCAAACGGCAAACGAAACTGAAAGCATAACGAAACCGTGTGACTCGTTTGAGCTGCGCAGCTCTTCGAGCGTAGAGCCTGGTTTATACTCGCCGCGTCAGGAGCGCGAAGCTGCGTGCAGCAAAAATTACGCGAATATTGAGGAAACGATGGATGGGTTTCATGCTAAAGTAAAGTAAAAGACCGCTTCTTAAACCAAAGGTGAACATGTTGGTATTCTTGTGGGACAAAAACATGCAAGCACTATCACCGACAGAAAGTTTAGTTTTACTTTTCTTTTTGTTTTCATTTTGAAAAGCTTGTTATCTTTGCTGTTAACCTCACGTTATGCTATGGAGGCTCTCTTTTTTATTTATTTGATTCCTCAGTGCTTGCTAAACGTTCTGTAATTTATTAGTCGGTATATAATACAGCATGTGGTGTATATGCCATGCCTCGTCTTATTCGTTTTTGTTAATAAACGTTTTATAAGCTAGTTTGTCATTGTATCTTACTGTTTTATTGTTGTTATGCTTTTTAATTAAGAATAACAATGAATCCATCTATTGTTTTAGTCTTAAAAAGTGAAAGGTGTGTAGATCAAAAAACGGACCGAATTAGCATGCCCTGCTGTAAATTTTGACCGGTTGGTGAAAAACAAGCTTATGTGGATTCTACACATTTAAACAATAAGGTATTTAGTATTATTTATGGAGCAGATAAATACATATAATCATTTATGAATCAATTATCATTTTGACTTGACCCTTTTCTTTATTTAAAAGCTGAAATGTGAAGTTTACCATTTATGAAACTTTTTCAAAGCTTTATTTGAACATTTACATTAGATATTTGAACATGCTATTCGATAAACTGTTGTCAGTCATGTTGTCATTTAAAATCCGGACATCATTGACAATGTTATTGTTTTAGTAATGCAAACAAAAATCTAAATTGATCTTTAAATTGATTTTAAATCTAAAACTTGGTGAAATGATTTGTGTGTCAGTACTTTTTGAACATTTCCAGCACATTTTAACAATACCTGTGATAATACTGATAACTATGGGGGTAGAATTGTTGCTTAATTCCAAATAAATAGATTATGATCCACAAATAAATAGAATGAGATCCACAAATAAATCTTAAAAGTTTCACAAACATTAATTAAATTCACAAATAAATAAAATGAGATTTGCAAATAAAAAACATATTCACAAATATATATTTATGTCACAACCACAACTTTGCCTGGCATTTATTTGTGAATCACGTCCTGTGCATTTGCCAATTGTGAAACATTTCTTGCGTCAAGACGTGCTGACAATCCACAACTACTATTTACAATCAACTGCAGACGCAATCCTGACACATTTTTTCTAGATGCAGAGAGAGCGTGTGCTTAGGTGCAAGGTAAAAAAGATTGAAATTGTAATGGTAATAACAGCACAGAAAAACATTACTTCTGATTGCGTTAGCACAAAGGTGAAATTTCTTCTTTTCAATGGATAGCTGTTGCGCCATATTGAGGTTATTGAAAAGAAATCAGATATGCAATTTAAAAAAATACACCATGTTTCATTTCAAATCATTGTTTCTTTTATTGTAGCTGTTAATGAAGTAGCCCTCGTCAAAAACCATTTCAACATACGGTATGCACAAACATATGCATATATGCATGCATTAACTATTAACATGTGATCACAGCGCTGATTCAGAGTGATTGTCTCTGTGTGAACACTTCAGTGTGAATCTATGCAGTTTAAGTGTTAAAATCTTATTATGAGCTCTAGCAGCTTTTGAAAGCAATTACAATCAAAGACTCATGGGTTGTTCTCAGGAAATTTGTAGTATTTGTATTATTGTTCAATAAGGTTCAAGAAACCAGTATTGCAGCACCTCAGGCTCAAAGTAACAGGTCCAGATATTACAGAAGCAGCACAGGGAGATCTCTATTTAACAAATATATGTTTTCAATGGCCCTTTCATAAACTATTAAACCCCCAATGAGAACGGATGTCACACAATATTTACTCAAAATTCACATGTAGTAATCCTTTTATATCCATATTTATACATAGCCATTTTTTTGAAAGAAGGCCACCTTTCTTATGGCCACCAAAGCTACATTTATTTGATTAAAAAAAACACTTCAATATTGTGAAATATTATTGCAATTTAAAATAAGTGTTTTCTATTTTAATACATTTTAAAATGTCATTTTTTCATGTGATCAAACTGAATTTTTAGCATCATTACTCCAGTCTTCAGTGTCACATGATCCTTTAGAAATCATTCTAATATGCTGATTTGCTGCTCATGAAACAATTATCAATGTTGAAAACAGTTGTTGCTACATATTTTTGTGGAAACTTTTTTTCAGGATTCTTTGATGAATAGAAAGTTCAAAAGAACAGCATTTATTTGAAACTAAAATCTTTTGTAATATTATAAATGTCTTTGCTGTCACTTTTGATCAATTTCATGAATTCTTTCAAAATTCTTTATTAAATCTTTCAAAAACCAACCCCAAACTTAAACAGCAGTGTATTCACATCAATAGTAAGTCAATGACGCACACACACAGCACACAAATGGCACCATTTCCTGAGAATTACTCCCATATAACATTTACTTTGATATAAGTTTTTGCCAATAATATTCTGAAAAGTTCAACAAATATTATTTTACACAAGACAAGGTAAGAGTTCAACACTATGCTCTTCACAGGCCGCTCGATAAGGCTGGTTGTACGTGCTTATAGTCTGTCTTTAGAGGTAAATCATCTCCAAAGCGGTCACGTCTCTCTGCTACAGGGGGAGCTTTCATTGAATGAAAAATACAGGTCAGCAGCTGGGTATTGTTCATTAAAAGATGTCTTCAAAAACACTGAGCCGTTCCAAGTCCGTAAACAAGTCTACAGAGAAAGCAGACGGTGTGTGTGTTCCTATCTGGGTGAGGTCCTTTAGTCTCATACAGCAGCTCTATCTCATTCTACCCATCTCATATGCGCTGGTTTTTCTCCACATTTATCTCTCTAGATCTGCTTCTTTTTAATCCTCAATCCTTAGAGACGCAGGAAGACAGATATCATCACTTGCCATTCTCAGTGTCTTAAGGAAAAAATAAAGCACAGTTGGAAAACAGAAGTGAAGAGAAGAAGAGAAAGTGGATTGTTTTTAGAAAAATTCTGTTCCTGCACATTAAAACCAGGGTTATTATAGAAAACTAAAACATTTTGATCTGACATAGCTGGAAAAAAAAATTTAATATAAATAGAGAAATATATATATATATATATAGAGAGAGAGAGAGAGAGAGAGAGAAGAAATATTTTAGACTTAAACTAAATAATTTTAAAAAGTCGCCTTGGTGCCTTGGCAACTAACTGAAATGTGTTTAAGCTGAAGCACCAAAATTACTAAGTGAAATAAATAAAAATTGAATTGAAAACTGAAATGAAAACTTAAAGTGCAATAAAAATACATGAACCCTATAGTAATATAAAAAATAAACAAAGAAAACTAATAAACATAACAAAAATACATACAGAATTTAATTAGAAATTAATATTGTTATTCAGAAGGAGACATACAATTCTTTAGAAGTCACAATAAAGACAATTTAATGTTATAAAAAATTCTATTTCAAATAAATGCTGTTCAAAAATCTGAAATTATGGTTTCCACAAAAATATTAAGCAGCACAACTGTTTTCATCATTGATAATAATCAGAAATGTTTCTTAAGCAGCAAATCAGCATATTAGAATGATTTCTGAACGATCGTGTGAGTAATGATGCTGAAAATTCAGTTTTGCATCCCAGGAATAAATTACATTTTACAATATATTCACATAGAAAACAGTTAATTTGAATTTTAATAATATTTCACAATTTAACTGTTTTTACTGTATAAGCATAAGAGATTTCTTTCAAAAATATTTAAAAAAAATCTTTATCTTGACTGGTAGTGAGAGAGAGAGAGAGAGAAGAAATATTTTAGACTTAAACTAAATAAAAAATTAAAAAAGTCGCCTTGGTGCCTTGGCAACTAACTGAAATATGTTTAAGCTGAAGCACCAAAATTACTAAGTGAAATAAATAAAAATTGAATTGAAAACTGAAATGAAAACTTAAAGTGCAATAAAAATACATGAACCCTAATGATTTCTGAACGATCGTGTGAGTAATGATGCTGAAAATTCAGTTTTGCATCCCAGGAATAAATTACATTTTACAATATATTCACATAGAAAACAGTTAATTTGAATTTTTATAATATTTCACAATTTAACTGTTTTTACTGTATAAGCATAAGAGATTTCTTTCAAAAATATTTTAAAAAATCTTTATCTTGACTGGTAGTATACGTACATAAAAAGATTGAGAGAGAACAAGAGAGGCAGAGAAATTGCGAGCTGATGGAAATGATTATAAAAATGAAGCAACCGAAGGAAGAGTCTCCTTGAGAGGTCTTCCAGAGATGACAGAAAAGAAAGAGTGTCTTTCCACCAGGAGTTCATTCTATCCCGCTTTGAACCAAAGCACCAGCACTTACGATCAAAAACCCCCATCCTGGAACATTCTTTACAAGGCTGCCCTAAGAACTACAGCGGCCTAATAAATCTAATTCTTCCATTCATCTCACACGATGAAAAACTATGGAGAGCCTTTCAAAACGATTCAAACCGGAGTGAGATTAAATGAAACTCAATCTCCGAGCTCTGGACATTTGTCCCCTGAGGAGCCCAGCCAACCCATATTAGCTACCACTTCAAAAAAGCTAAACAACAGCACTGGTTAAAATCCTGCATCATCTAGTTAACGGTTATTTGTCTCATCATAGTAGCATGCATACCGAATTATCAGTATAAAACAATGCTGTCTAAATTTAGTGCGTTAACGCAAGTGATTAGTTTTTCCAGTTTAACGGCGTTAAAAATATTTAGGTTTTGGCCACCCCACTCGCAGCTGCTGCTTCTGTCTCTTTTTTCTTGAAAAGAATTGCGTTTATTTAAATGCAGAACATCTTTTCCACCACATCAAAAAGGGGACTTTTCAGACGTGCACTTCAACCTCAGTGCCAGGTGCTAGTCAAACGATCGCGGAAACAGAAAAGGTGATATATGTCAGTAAAAACTAATCTTCCTGTCAGCAGTTACTATGCTCATAGCGCGTGCTTTTCAATTGCACGCACAAATATGCCATCGCTCGCTGTAGCCAGTATCATTTCATATTAAAGCGCGAATGAAATGAAAAGCATGCGTGTCAGATCCGCGTCATGTTCAGTTGCAGCAGCTCTTAGAGTAATAGCAGCCAAATAACGTAATATCCAGCTGCAGTGGTGTCTGTTAATCAAAGAACAAAAGAAAAAAGAGGAAATCAATAACTTTTGTAGCTTTAAGGATTCATCTATATTTCATTTTAGAATTTAGTGTTTGATAACTTCATTCAATTGCTGTAGATTCCCTACTTGCTGAAGGGCACAGGTAAATATGACATTTATTATAATGGGGTTGTGTGAAGATTGTTTTAAGTTCACTTAAATTAGAAGTTATTTTATTTTTATAAATCTAATAAATGTTCAAATTGATAGCTCTCAATTATACTGTTGAATGGCTATAGTCAAGGGTTAAATATAAGAGGGGAAAAAATTCTAATTTCATAGAGACATCAATAAAATTGGTATCAGTGATACTTGCATTCAGTCATAAAAAAAGTTGCCATTAAACAAATATTAAAAACATCCTTATGTTGTTTCTACATTAAGCTGAAGATTGAATGAGAAATTATTGCAACATAAAACTATTAACACAGCATTATCCACCTTATTTTTCTCGTAAGAGTGGGTGTGGCCATTTGAAAATGTTATGGGACTGGCTTCCGGCATCATTCGCTTCCAGCTATGCTTAGCTGAACAAAATGGCTCGTTTTGCTGCTTGATATTGCTAACTGGTGTGTCTTACCTTTTTTTAATGTATTACAGTTTTACCGTCTACTGCACTTTGTTATTCTTCTTGTTATTTTCCTACTGCGAATAATGAACTGTAAGTCTCACACCTTCACAGAAAACAGCTTACTTCCGCATTAAAAAATAAGGTGGATAAATCCAACCTAGGGACAACATTGTCTATTTTTGTAGGCAAACTCAAAAGTTCGCAGAATAGTTTGTAAGAGCGTGATTATAAACACAACGAGGCTGTGAAAGCGACTAATGAGTAGATGAGTTTATCTGCTCAGTATGAACAAGTTTAACAAACTCTGTAGTCCCATTTAGCCCCTTGTTAGCAATAGCAGCCGTATTTTAAAAGCATAAAAGTAAAAGCATAAAAAAAATCACAAGGGGGTGTACTGATGTATTTTATGTCATGGAATAAAACATGAAAATATCTTGAGCTAGTGTTAACCAGAGACCTTACATCAGACATTTAACCAAAAGCCCATTTTAAAAAACGTTGACTTCGCCTGCTATGTTGGTCTTCACGAAATTTACGAGCAGAGGACCAAAAGGCCTACAAAAATGCCTTTTATATGGTGGTTTTCTGAAGAAGAACACTGCTGTCGCATTCTCTTGGCATCCGTTATCCAAAACCCAAATGAAAATATGCCACACATCCATGCCATTATCATCATCAGCAGCAGCATGTTTCTGAACTGGCAGTGTATCCTAGACAGCTGAATCGTTCTACTGCACTACGTCTTGAAGAAACACTAGTTGAAAAATTGATGAAACGTAGAAACACTCACTGTTTTGCTGCATGAGTCAGTGCGTGTGTGTAACAAACTTCTCAGGTCAGGTGTGTAACCTCACCAGATATTGTCCTGCATTCTCTGCTAGTAGAAAGGAAAGGTGAAAATGAAGCAGAAACACAATGTACTGTTAGTGCTTATGAAAGCAGGTCAAGCTCAACTCACTATCCCCCCAACTTCACCTCTTTAGTTTCACTGAGCTGCCCAAACTCTGCTCTGATAGCAGTAATCCAGACAGCGCTCTGGAACCATTATACGCTTTATACTATTTTTAGAAAGCAAGACTAGAAACATCCCAAAACGCCTTAGACTTGAATTGAGTTTGTGAGACAAGCCTCCCCTGAGTGTTTTTATATGAGTGTTACTTCAAGCTGTTTCTTCAAGGTTATGTTATCTGTGGGGAAACAGCAGAATTAGGTTACTGTTTGGGTGAAGCTCATGAATGATGTCTGGGTCATATTTCACCCCAAAATCAAAAGGAAAAACAATAAATCACATTTTACGTTAAGAACAAGAAGCCTATTTTTCAGCACCTAGATTCATCGATTTTTTTTATTTTAATTTACTTATTTTTATTTTAAAAAAGTGTATATATAAAAGTGTATAAGTATACACCCCAATATCAAAAAGAAAAACGGTAAATTACATTTTAGGTTAGGAACATGAAACCTATTTTTGTGCATTGTGACATTGTTAATAAATCCAATTTGTATATTATTTATTGAATAGTATATATATTTTTCAGCACATATATTTTGTGCATTGTGACATCTTTTTCATTTGGGATAATATTTGCATTAATTGTCCAATAATATAAATATTATTGTGTTATGTTTTTGCTTTGCTGTACCATTTGTTCTGCTGTGTCCAGACATGCTGATTTCTAATGTTGTATTATGATTATCACAATGCATTAGTTCTCTCATTTTTTATTAAAGTATTGAGAATTTGGAAGGAAAATGTGCTTAATTGTAATGTTAATAAAGTCATAATGCACAATCTTCCTAAAAACAGGCTTCATAATCTGTATGCAAAATACACGTTCTTATTTTTCAAGTGAAATATGACTGTGACATTTCTTTTTAAGAGTCATTTGTGTAGTATCATGCCGTTTAAACTAATGGAATCCTTTGACCGGATATATGCATGATCATGAAAGTAATCAAACCTCTGTCTGAGGTGTTGCTCATAATAACTGACAGTGTAAGCAGTGATTGAATCAGTACTGACTCTGGGTCTGTAAAGTATTTGTAATATATTAGTCAGAGTTGATTTGTAAGTAAGCAGCATATTTAAGGTCTCTCTCCATTCATAA